CATATGGCAGACACCTTCACTGTGACACTCGGCAAAGTTGCTGGCTGCAGAAGTTAAAAAATTGTGAATTGAAGAAGCCTCTTGGATGAGAAGCGAAACGTCTTCAGAGAAAAACCAGAAAGTCCAGTTGCCTCTTGAAAAAAAGCACCTTTGGGGCAGAAGTTTAAAGTTAAATTTGTCATGTCTTTTCAGAGGCATTTCTCTCTCTCTCTGTTGCATGCTTCTTCAGCAAATGATCTGGAAAGCATTTTTTTAACACAATGTACATTTTGCATCAATATTTTGCTGGATTTCTTTGGAAAGAAAAATATTAAACCATGCTAGCATTTATCATGAGATTAAGATATATTAGTGTCTTGAAATATATATGAAAAGAGTTTTGAGGATGGGGAACAGAATGGCTGGTGGGGAGAACAGGGTAGGGCAATGTATTGCACTGATGTCAGGGAATGGGAACTATGGTGGGAGACAAGGGGCAAGCACCTCAATGTTAGTACCAATTTTGTGTTCCAGCCTCTTGCACTCAACCAATTTACCGGCTGTGAAGGCCTGGGTTTTAGGCTACTGCTTTTAAATGCCAAGTCAGTCCTTTCCTGGCCAACAGACCTTGCTCACAATCACCCACTCTAGTCATCTCCCATCTTGACTACTGCATGGAGCAGCTCTACACGGAGTTGCCTTTGAAAAGTTATCGGGAAGCTTTAATTGGATAAAAATGTGGTGGGTCGTATAGTTCTCTGCAAATTTAGATTTGCATACGTCAACTTTCTTGTTGGTTGCTGATTTGCTTCCACGTACAACCCAAGGTACTGGTTGTCACCTTTAAAGTCCCACGTGGCTTAGGGCCAGGTTATTTGAAGGGATGACTTTTCCTGGTTCCATCTACCTGACCCATCGGAATGGAGAGGCAAGGTATGTTATGGATCCCTTCTGTTAAGAAGGTCCAGCTAGTGGGACCAAGGCGGCTTTCTCTATGATAGCTCCCTCCCTGAAAAAGTAAGACTGGCCCCCTATCTTGCTACTCTTTCAGAAGTCCCTGAAGACAGTTTGCCAGCAAGCCTGGAGAACCCAGGATGATACTGAGTATATCAAGTGCCTTGTCTGATTGTTCCTGTCAGTGGGGTGAGGGTATATTAGGTTTTGGATTTGGGGTCTTATTTCTATAAGCCATATACTTTTTCTAAATAAAAAAAAAATGTAAACATTACTACTAGAAACAACTGGGGTTTAGGACAATTCGCTGCAGCCAACCCGCCACAGCCAACTCTCTGTGGAACAACTCACTGCGGGACAAAAGTTACTCTAATATGAAAGAAATGGTGGAATTGAATCATTAAAGAAAGGATACAAAAGAAGGGACAGACTGAAGTGTGAATGGCAAAAATTAAAATATTTTATTTTAAATAATTAAATAGAATTGTTAAACTGTCCCGCAGTGAGTGCTTCACAGCAAGTTGGCCATAGTGAGTTGGCTGTGGCAAGTTGTCCAATTCCCAACAATTGAAGCATCTCATGCAATTAATTTCCAAAACATTTCACCAGTTTTTAAAAACATTGAAACATAAAAGTATTCTGTCTCCTTGAGCATTTATGTTCAATATTATAAGATAAAAACAGGGCAGCTTTGAAAGAAGAGTTTTTTTTTAAAGGTATCATTGAATAAGTTAATCAGCTAATAACTTAGGACAAAACAATTTATGCTTTGTGTTGAAGGAAATTCATACAACTAGTGTATTATTCATAGACGAATATAAATTAGCTATATTTGGACTAGCGGATTAGTTATGGTTTCATTGCTTTCGGATTTATGGTTCCAGAAAACTTCAGTCTCTGCAAGGGAAAAACATCAGATTTCATGGTCAGATCTAAGGTAGCCAATTGTTCTTGCCAAACAGCCTGTAGCTCAAAACAAGTTACAACAGGTTTTCCATTACAGCACAACCACTTTTTGAAATCAATTATCTTTCTTCTTTAGAGTGCAGTTTTCCATTCATTTTATTAGTGTGTGTAAACTCACTGCAAAACAACTCAAGCCCTCCCTTCTTTTCCCACCAAGGTAGGCAACTGGAGACGTCTCTCTATTATTTCTCCATTCAGAAATGAAATGAAACCCGACAGGAATCATGCCACAAGAAGGTCAAGCAATCCAGTATCTCTGTCGGTGGCAATTAAATTATAGCCGTGAGAACTTCGGAACCATTTGGCAAAGTGGCATTTCTTCACTGAAGGTTGAAAATTAACATCTTTTCTTTCTGCAGCCAGTCCCGTGTTTGCCAAAGTGAGCACTACCATTTATACTTATGGTACATTCTGCCCAAACTCATGCAACTAATTTCTGATTGAAGAGGCTGGGGTCAGTCTCTAAATTATATAGTGTAATTAGAGATTGGCTTTTTAAGTTCATGAGTTACAACAACTCGAGTAAAAATCTCCTAGTTACCTCCCACCCCCTGCCTTCCTCCCAGCATTTTCAATAAGGGAAAGCTCATTCCAAAACAACAAAGTGCCATAGCAGTGGTGGTTCAAATAGAACACTCTTTTCATCCAGCTGGACAATTACAACAATTTTGTCTACTCTGACCAGCATTATTTCTCAGGTTCTTTGACATGACAGGTTTTTTCCATCACCTTAAGAGAATTTTTACAGAAGGTAATAAATATATAATAAATGGGAGAATCTTGATTCACTTGTACAGTTTCCAAACCAATAGGCTGTTGGAGAGAAATTATAGAAAGGAACTCGGGGCTCTGTCCAAATGGAATGGAGTGGGATCAAATCTGGTGTGGAGAGAGAAGCTGGGAAAAGGTTTTGGAAATAGGCTGCATCAAGCTGTGAGCTATGGAGGAAAAGGAAAAGAAGAACCAGAAAAATGTTCTCCAGTACCTACTATCTCTGTGGGAGAGGCAGCTGAGTATGGTGTTGACTTCTCCATTACATGCCTTCTTTCTCCTGGTGACCCAGAGTTGGACGTATAATGGAGAAGTCAGCAGGCCACTCCTTGGGCTTCTAGCATATGCAGATGCATCAGAGGAGGTGAAAACAGAAATACAAAGTCCCTGGAGGGTCACAAATGTGAATTTAATAAATAAATGTACAGATTACATTATTTTCTACAAAGAAAGATCAAACGCCCTGTACAGCCACTGGCGGTAAAGGGTTGGAAACATTTCCGGATGCCATGTTCTGCATTTTCTTTCCTTCTTAAAACAGTATTTTCATTCTGATCTAGATTCTAGGGAAACAATACATTTGGTAACAAATGCCTATCCAGTTGCATTTTTGTTCAGCATACACATTTTTTCACTGCATAATTGCAGTTAGTATATTTACATAGTATAAAAATGTGACCATCGCTCTTCATTAAGCTAGTAAATCTTCTTGGATGCTGTGACTTCCCTCCATCACCCCATCTTTCTAGGCATATCTAAAATCCAACGCAGAGTATCCCCCATCTCTTGACCAGGGATCGAGAGGGTCATGGCAGAAGGTGGGACAATCTGTTCTGCTGCTGGACGCTGCTTTGAGTGTTTTCTCTCCCACCATTTTTGAGATTTCTGAGTAAGATGAGATATAATTTGACCCCTTCCCTGGATGCCTTCGCTCTCTTCCTTGGGAGGCAATCCTGGCATCACACCCTGGCTTTGAACAAATCATGATCTGAACCAGGAGGAGTCAGATAAAGTGAAGAGATGCCCAAGCTGAAGCAGATCAAATTATAAAACCACTGAATCTTGTTTAGAACTGCAGAAACTCAGATTCCAGTCCATGTAATTGCAAAAATGGATACATTTCTTTCAAGTTTCTGTGTAAGAAAATCATCTGATCTGTTATGTTTAATATCACAGTGGTTTTACCAGAGATTTATAGTCGGGGCTTTGCAGTGTTCAGTGTTCTTTGCCAGTTTTCTCTGGGGAGCAAGAGAAATAGGATCTATTGATTATTTTTCATTATTTCTAACTTGTACAATTATGAAATTTTAAAGCCCATGTTTTCTAGTAACTTTCACCCAATTGTAAAAATTGTTTTCCAAAGAGGTGGTCCTACCACCAAATTGCTTGGCATTTCCATGACAATGAAAGGCCTTATAATACTGTGACATTTTAAAATTCTGGAGGCAATTGGTTTTCATTGTTTTATATGTTTCTTATTCTGAACTATTTGGCTGTGTTTTCATGCCATCCAATTTAAATATTTAAACTATGTTCACATTCTAAAGCTTTCTAATTGTTACTTCTTCTGTTCTTGGAACGACAAGTAGTTGAAGCTAGATGAAGGCAGAGATTAGTGTGCATTATATAGTGGAATAGTTGGATAAATAGAATCTGCATCCATTTGGTGATGTATTTACATGCTTTAACTATAGAACTGGATTGTTTCTCCTATTCTTTTAGATTTGTATTCCCAGCAGATGAGAAAAGTAATCCCAAATTGCTTTCCTTCTGTAGTTGCTCAGATATCATGACAGATGATGAAAAAACTGATGTGATACCATTGGATTACTGGATAAGGTGTTTTGTATGTTATAGTTTATAAAAATATTAGTATAGATTTTCTAGCATTCTCCACTTAATTCTGAGACTCATTTTAGATGTATATATAAAGAGCACTAATTATATAATTTTCTGGCATGATTACTATATACAAACCTAGCTATGTGTAGGCAGAAAGAATGATGTATTGTCATATTAGCAAAAAAGCAGCTATATCAGTGAAGAGGTAAATTATGGCACTTTTCCAATTTTGTATTATGTAATTTTCTTGACAGCAATTCATTGCCCCGTGCAGAGCAATACAACGCAACTCACTGTATAGAAAAATTTTGAAAATATTGAAGTCTTCATGAAAATCTAATCTGTTCAAAACTTTTTTTAAATGATCAAAAGTTGATAGTTTTCACAATTATAATTCAACATAATGATTCATGATTAAAAATAAATACCATTGTTTTTCTCTGAAAACACCATGAGTTATTTAAAAGTAAACTAAAAATATTCCATTATTTGCAATGCATATCTACAATTTATTGCTTGATCAGAACTAGGGTCACAAACAGATTTTCAACACAGAAATTCTACAATGTTAGAAATACACACTCATAGAACTAGTTTATTGACAATGTTTCTAAAGTAAATTTGAACTGGAGAAATTGTCACCAATACCCATTTCCTTAAGTGAACCTCATTTCCCCCCATAACCATATGCAGAATTTCCTGAATGTCAAAAACATATTTTAAAAATTAACAGACATAAAACAGTTTGCTTTTATGAACACTGAAGAAAAACTGCACAAAAGTCTGCGTTCAATTACAGCTTATCTATTTTCAAATGCATTATGGCTGCTCTAGGCCACTGTGAATTTTGCTTGAGATCTCCTCAAGCTATACCTGATCCAGTTCAATGACTTGAAAGTTTATATCCACTGCCAAACAAATATCCAGAATCTTCAGTCCAGCCCAGAGCTGGATTGTGAGTGCTTCATGTCAATTTATATAGATTCCAAATATATTTCCAACTATATGTCCCATGAGTCTGTCTTTGCCAAAGATCCTTTCCCAATATCTGCTTAGCTACCAAATTTAGAAAAAGAGGTGGGCAGAAGTTACTGAAGCTTAGTGCTGGCGAGTCAAATTCATGCAGGTCTCTGAATTAGGAATGGTGAATTATACACCTATTTTGAGATATGCAGTTCACGTATGCATGGACCTGCTCTTCGGTACCACCTTAGAACAAGATGGGATACCTGTTATTTTCCAGATGTTCCTATACTGTCCAATTGTTACTATCTATCCTCATTGGCCATATTAGCTTTGGGGACACACCCATCACCAGCAACAGGAGTGCACTCCAGAAGCATTCATTGCTATTTTCCAAGGTTTGGAATATGGATTTACAGCTGCTTTTGGAAAAAAAAGAAATTCCTCTGAACTCACTGATGGTATTGTTGCCACACATCGCAGACATAAGCACTCTAGCTTTGAGACTAAACATGTTTTAAATTAAGAAATCCACATATAATGTTATAAAGTAGGTGCCAGGGGATTTCTGTTTCATTATTTTTCATTTTGATACTAGAAACAAACATGGTAACAATCAATCTAAATAGGCATGACCCAGCCAAAATAAAGCACCTTTAGGTTCTACTGATTTAAGGGAGAACAATAAGCACTTAAACTGATTCAGAAGTATATAACTTCAGATGTATATCATCTACATTGTTTTTTTTTTTACTAGAAAACTTGCCCATCAGAGTTTCTAGGTAATATTTAGCTAAGTGCAGTAATTAATTTTAAATTTAACATTCAAGGCAACAGGTGAGAAGAACTACATTTAAATTCAAATGTTTCTGAACATAATTATTAAGCAGTTACAAACATTAAGATGAATCTTAGCATTATACAGCATGTTGCTACACATCATTTATTATGGATGAAGTGGTAATCAACATATCTGATTATTACAGCAGCAAAAATCTACAACTGTTCTGCGCCATGGAATCAGTTCTGAAGCAGCATTTTTAGTTTTAAAGAGAAAAGGCAAAAAAAGCCATAAATTATATATTTTAAGAATTCTTTTGAGGCATCCATTAAATTTCTGTGCTTTACTCTTGACAATGTATACCCACACAATCCTGCATTTATACATAGTCTTCAATAATTATGCAGGTAACTGTGAAGTAGGTTTTATGCAGTAGATCTATGCAATTGTGATTAAAGTGCAAAATATTTTGTACAAAATCTTAATGACTACTGTAACTTGTTTCGATGGACACTGGAGAACTGAGACTGGATCTTCCATTGATGGCAATAGTGTTTGATGGAGGTGCAACCTGGAAAAGAAAATATTGTCAGGATCATAGAAAAAAACTAGGCCCGGATACCATCTATCCGCCATTTCAACATGCATCTGTTTTAAAAGCTATCCCCCTGAGCAACATCTAATTATCAGGATGAGATGTCTACTCGGACCCCATTCAATAAAGAAGTGTATATAGGTTTGATAAAGGGAGTAATGTGATGTGGTCAGCGAAGGCTGAGAAGATTTGGGTTCAAATATTAATCAATCTTGACATTCAGTGGGTGTCTCGGGACAGATATTCTGTTTTACCAAACAGCGCAAATTGGTAGGACAAGATGAGATGGAAGAAGCATATCTCCAAGGTTAAAAAAAAGGAGACAAAGATGTTAAAATATGAAAATACAAAATCAAACAGAATTGAGGAATAGGTTTTAAGATCAAAAAGATAGTAAAATATTTGGGTATTGCCATGACAATTATGAACTGTATATTCAAAATAGTTATGTTAAAATATAGAGTGAAATTAAAAAGATATGTTAAAGAACATATCAAGAAAATGTAAAATAAAATCAAGAAAAGATTTAGTAGCAACAAGAGACACTTGTCAACAGCTTTTTTATGCATAATGATCAGAACATTTTAATTTAGAAAAAAGAATTTGTGATATTGTAAGTCTCATTTTGAAATATACTATATATAAAAGATGAACATGTTATTGCAAAATGTATAAACTTTGACTGAAATTTGAAATAAAAGAAATTAAAGAATGTATTTATAACATAGGCTAAAATACAATATACAAGTGAAGCCACGGGAAAATATATAGTTTGAAAGGACTGAAATTTACATTATGTTCTAATCTTAAAGGGAATTTTTTATAAAATGATGTATCACTGGTATATATCATCAGAGAACTTGTCTAGATAGATAGATAGATAAATAGAATTCTTTATTGGCCAAGTGAGATTGGACACACAAGGAATTTGTCTTGGTGCAAATGCTCTCAGTGTACATTAAAGAAAAGATACATTCGTTAAGAATCAAGCATCATAAGGTACAACACTTAATGATAGAATATACAAAGGTATTTGTATTTATGTTGGAAATGGAAAAGAGACATGTTATCATTTTGGTAAATATGTAAAAAAGGCAAATTTTTTTGACTGTCTGAAAACCTCTTACATTTTTGGAATGAAACAGGAAAAAGTGGTATGATTCCTGGCTTTGATTAGAAAAAAATAAGTAAAAGTAGCTTTTCTTTTTGTAACTGTAGAATAAAGGGTAGTTTTATAATTGTATTTATATTTGCTGCAAGAAAATCCCATTACATTGCTATTTCTTTTTATTCTTTGTGTTTCTTTTTTCCCCTTTATTTTCCTTTATATTAATTTTTCTTTTCATCTATTCAAAATACTTAATAAAAATCATATAAAAAAAGTAATATCTCCCTGCTTCTCAAAGAGCATGGGATAAAAAGCAAGCAAGCAAATAAGCCACCTACAGACCGCATCAGTTTGAAACAATTTTCATGTTAATTAATATTACATTAATTTAAAGATCATGAGCTGGAAGAGAGCTCTTTATGGACACACAAGTACATTTAACTGATTTGGAACTTATCTTCCTGCTATTTAGAAATCTGTTAAGATTCGTTCACCCAGCACCTTAGCCATTATAACAAGGGAACAATATGATACTCTATGACTCAGCTCAGGGTAAAAATTAGTGGATTCTGCCCACTGTGAACTATTTTGCATCTATCATTCCCCAAAACCTTATTTCAGCCCCAACTTAACAACAGACATGGGGCTTAGGAAGAAAAAAGGTAATAGCTCCTGCAAGGCTGCAATCAGTGAATGAAGTCAACAGACACATGAATGAGATATACATTTTGCTTTTTAAAAAGAAGATTTTAAAATTATCTTAAACATTATCTTAATGGGAAGAGACTAGTCATATGATGGAAACATTCTGGAGAGATAAATAGCTACAAGCCTTGCCCTCTTTTGACCCATTTGATTAGCAATTAATGAGGGCTTAATTCAACAGAAATAAAGCTGCAGCACAAAAGGCCACAGAGTTTGGCTCTATACCCAAACAAGTTATTAAATGGAGGAAAATGTTTGGCTGACAGAAGAAACAGGGTTGTTGTTTTTTTGCCTCATTTCTTAAATACTTGGCAGTTAGTGAGAGCACCTGATAGACCTTTTACCTGATTTACTAGAGTAAAGCATTCGCCCAACATCCTTTCTCCTTGCTCTCTATACACAAGGGAATCACGGAGCCTGCCAGCCTGCTGTCATTAAGGGTTTAATTCTCTCACATGCAACAGGTCTTGTTTTAAAAAGCTGAAGTGACAACTTGCAGCCACAGCCTGACATCATCTTCACAAGAGGCATAAAAATAAATTCGTTTCTCATCAAAGTTTCATTTCCTCATATTGTTAGATAGTGCAAAAGTCTAATCAACAGGCTACTCTTTTTTTTTTTTTGGCAGTGGGGAGAGTTCTTCAAAGGAGAACAATTGAAGAAAATCTGAAACAACTTCTAAAAATGAATGGATCTAAATAGATCCATCCTGGCTATATTAGTTCACCTTAGAGCCCATTCCAGGGGTGGGATTCTACAGGTTCACACCTATTTGCTTGTTATTAACATTCTAATAACCTTGTTATTAACATTCTAAGCAGTTCGGAGAACCGGTTGTTAGAAGAAATTACTGGCCTAATCCTGTAAGGAAAGCAGGAAGGAAACATTCTGGTGTTGCTTACAGAAACTGCCTCTCCGTTAACCCTTATTACATTCTTGGCAGGACTAGACTTCCTGTCTCTGGAACTTCTCTGGAGTTTTTTTCCCATCCTTTGCTGGTACTTTGCTTGTGTGGAGTGACCATTCAAAGTTACAATGGCGCTGAAAAAAGTGATTTATAACCATTTTTCACACTTACAACTGTTGCAGCATCCCCACAGTCATGAGAGGCCAGGCAAGGAGATGCGTGCCTCGATGTGAGTGATGTTGAGTTGGCCATGCCCACCAACTAAGCCATGCCCACAGAACCGGTTGTTAAAAGATTTGAATCCCACCCCTGGCCCATTCTCTTTCCAATGCACAGTTTTCAAAATGAATGGATCCATGGCCTTAGTTACTCTTCATTTTTCACTATGTATTTAATCAAGCCCATAGAGGGCCTCACAGCAGTCGAAGAAAAACAAGTGACAATAGAATTACTAAGTAGCAGAACATCACAGCTCATTATAAGAACAACGAAAAACATGCAGGGAGCCCGTTCACATTCCACCCTTCCAAAGGAACTGCTGGAAAACCTTGATCTTCAAAGCTTTACAAACACACAACAGATTTGGGGGCATACAGGCATCAGAAAGAATGCTGTTGCAGAGAGCATGTATGGCTATGGAGAAGTCCCTGCAAGATGGCACTGCTTTACCATGAGAACTTGGAGCGAGCAAACTTTCCAGATCTTATCAGAGGGGCAGAAACAACTAAAAGAGGCCACCCCGCAAGCCCCATGAAGTGACAGCCAGCCCTTTGAATTGCGGCTGGAAGCTAATTGGTCAAAATAGTGGTGCAACACAATAGGAGTATGAAATAATGATGTTACACAAGCAAAATGAGACAGGACCATAATTACTTCCATCCCTGTGTTTTGGACCAATGCACTTTCTGAGTAGACTTTAAGGTAGCCAAATGTAGGGGGCACTGCAATAATCCAAACAGGTGGTGATTAAGGCACCCCAGTCCAGAATAATTCTCTGTGTATAGATTTTGTCCTATTAAGAACTAGAGGAAAACAAAAATTCTGTAAAAAAAATCTGCAAAATATTCTGCTGAATATACATGAAAAATATCCAGTATGGTTTTTTTTTAAGTACTGATTTTGAAACTTGAAGCCTATAAACTTTAAACTGATGACACCATCTTTCTGCTTTACTGCCTTGATTTTTAAGAAGATACTGAGTTAACTATCTGCTTCAAAGGCTGAAGAGATTTAGGGAAGAGGGAAGTGCAGGTATGAAGCTGGTTTATAAAAGACCTTAACTTGGAAAATACAAATGAGTCAGGAAACTGAAAGAGGGGATGGAGGAAAGAGGAAAGTGGCCAGGCAAATAGGAAGAGACGGAAGCTAAGGATACAGAACAATCGGATATCCTCTATCATCAGTCAGTAATGATATGATATATAATGTATAGTTAATTATATACCTACTGTGTTTCCCCCAAAATAAGACTGCCTTATATATATTTTTGCCACCAAAAAAGGCATTTTCGGGAGGGGATGTTGTCCACCGACTCATCTCACTTGTGTGCATCGTCCCCGGCCTCCTTTTTGCTGTCAGAGGCCTTCAGGAACTTCTTCTGCAGCCAACAAGGCTGTCCTGAAGGCCTCTGCAGCCAATAACAGAGCTCCGGATTGATTCAGAACTCTATTATCGGCTGCAGAGGCCTCAGGAAAGCCTTGCCGGCTGTAGAAAACATGGGCCAATAAGGCAGGCCTCGGGGTGGGGGTGGGAGTGGTGGGGTGCGAGGCCTGGCTGCAACTGTCCGAAGGTAAGTAGTAGGGCAGCTCCACCATCCCCATCCCAGCTTAATTTTTACCCATGCACTCTGGAGTCGGCGGGGTCTTGATTAGGGCTTATTTTGGGGATAGGGATTATATTGGGCACACATGTAAAAATCAAGCTTTCGGGGTAGGTAGTATATTCGGGGAAATAGAGTAGGTCTAGGAGGTTAACCAGATCAAAGTCAGAAACAACAGTTTTGAACACGGATCTATTTCCTATTGGCATTATTATTATTATTTTTTAAAAAATCATCCCACGTTCACAAGATTCGCTCATCAATAATCATATTCTGACCATTACAGTGACTTTGAAAGAAGCCCTCTAAATCCCCTGCTGTTGATTTAATGCTGAGCGGGAGAAGGGAGGACAGCGACTCACCCGCCTCAATTTGGCAGCAGCCTCTCCAGAGCGGATTGCAGCCAGCAAGCTCTGGTGGATCTGTTCTGGGTCAGGGCGCTGGACTGCTGCAGCAATACTTCTCTCACAGATAGCGGTGGCTGGATGGTTGAATAAAGGGGGTGCCTGCCTGTTTTGCTCATAGCTTGCATCGTTAGTCTTCTGCTGGGTTAAAACATGGCCCAAGTAAGGTTAGTGGAGTGTATTACCATCATTCTGAGCACATGTTCAAAGAGCTATAGGTTTCTAACTACAAAGCATTGTAACACCTAACATATTTATGAAGCTTTCATGGATCCAGATTAATCAATCATTCATTTATTATTATTGGAGGGGGAGGATTAAGGTTGCCACAAAATTCAGGTAATACACGACTGTCTAATGTTGGACAAATAACTCACTCAAATATTCCGGTATGAAAAGATAGAACTGGGGATAGGGGAGAGGCAATGCCATTGTGAATGTATGTTAAATATAAGTTTTACCTTGTCTGTCAGGATTTGCTGAGTTGTTGGACTCGGTATAGATGAATGATCCTTTACTTCGGTGCTGGATGCTGATGTGCTAAGGTCAAGAGAAGATTGTTCTTTTAATGGCCTGGTTGTATTGGCGCATGTTTTACTGAAGGACTGTGATCTTTTAACTGCTGATGATACAGCAAGAGCAAAAGGTGAAGGTTTAGGAGCAGAGTATGGCTGAGGCAAAACAAAAGTCCGCAAAGTTTTCAAATGTAATGGAGAAAGCTGGGTTGAAGGAGAATTCAACGGTTGAGATACTTTTACATGAGAAGTAGCGACTTTCCTTTCTTCATTACATCCGTTTTCAGTAGTTTCCTCAGGTAACTGAGAAGGAACAGTAATTGACTTAGGTAGTGGAGCGCAATGTTGATCTGGAGATGCCACCTTTTTCTCCGTCTCTGCAGTCTTAGCTTCATTCTGAATAGGGCTGCTTAGAGAGCCACCTCTGGCAATTGCAGAAGTTACATAATGATCTGTGGTTCTCCTCTGTATCTGCATATAAAAATTGCTTGGCCTTATCGGGGGACTCAAAATTTTTGGTTTTTCTTGCACTGCAGGTGGAGAACTTTTGCTTCCTGAATTTAGAATTAAGGGAAGAATCGGGTGGTCTTGATTAGTCTTGGGATGTTCTATCTCCATTTTCTGGCCTTTGGCATTGGAGAAGGAAACTGGGCTATGATCAGCAGCCGGGTATGTTTTAGGCGGGAGATCCCTCCCTACCTCAGGTAATGTAACTTCATTCTTAAAATCAGGTTCTGTTTTTGAGGTATTAGCAGCCACTGTTTGTGTACCAAATTCTTGGGAGTTTTCATTCTTGGGAGATACCACTACTTCTTGGTATTCCACATGATCCAATTCCCAATTCTTTGCTGTTTCCAAACTCTTGGGAGGTACTATTTTGTAAGTAGTCATTCCAACTTTGGGAATGTAGTCTCTGGTAATTTCATTGGAAGGCTTAGGTTTAGGCTTTGAATCTTGTCTGTAAACTGGGTACGGTCTTGTAGGAGAACTAACTGGGCTTCTGACAATTGTTTCCGGGAGAACTTGGTTATCATTTACAAATGCATTATCATGGGTGCCATTAGGATTCACACTGTTTTGGTCGGCTTGTCCTATGGTCTTATTCATCACATTCATGGCTCCTGAGGAATGTTTTTTCTGTACTGGCTTGTGTACATGAGTTGGATTTTTGTGAGGGCTCAGTGCGCGACCCTGATGATTGCTGTTTTCACTTAATGCAGTCTGACCAAAATTATCTTCAGATAGGGTCTGAATTGCAACATCCTGAGTCTTTATTAGATCTACATTGATCTGATGACATTTTTGATCATTCACCCCATTTAGAGAGGTATCATCCAGTGTCTCAGGCTTGTTACTTTTTCCTATTTCTTCCTTACTGAGTTTGTCAGAAGGCAGAGGACATGTTGGCTCTTTATGACCTTTTTAAAAAGGGAAACATAATTCTGACATTAGCACAGAGAAGAAAAATTATTTGAATCTTACATAACTCTTCATTAAAACAGTACTAAGCATAATAATTCCCTTAATATAAATTTCATTGATTATATCGAACTGCCATTTGTTGGGCTGATTTCACAATCTATGCTTGGCAGTCCCAAAATAGTTTATTAATACTATAACTAATACTAGTATTAAAACTATATTAGTGTAGTACTAATACGCATAACTGTATTAATAATGTATTAGTATAGCACTAATACTGGAACTTCAGGCAGGACTTTATGATTGCTGATTTATATGGCTTGAGAATGACCACAAGGAGAATCAGAATAATTCCTGTGTCACTAAACTTAATTAGCATTCCCAGAAAGTTAAGAGAGAAAATTCCCTTGCATGAGAAATTCACAGAAAAAACTGCAAGGATTGTAAGGATTGTCTCTTGATTTTCAAGACATTACATGAAGGACAAGATCATAATTCTTATAAAGAGTAACTCACCATTATTTGTGTTTGGCCGCAATGTTCCAAGTGTGGTACCATTGGGAATGCTAACTCTTTCTCTCAGTATTTCACTATCTTGGGCGCTGTGAAACAAGACAGAAACACTAGGGAGAGGACTATTGAGAAACAGATGAAACAAAACATAATCTGTTTTGACAGAAAAAGAGCCAAAGGAAGAGTAGAATATAGGTAGTCCTCAAGTTACAACAATACTGAATGAGGTGGACTTACAATGGATCCTTGGAGTTCTAGCCACTGCAGCATCCCTGCAGTCATGTGATAAGTGATCCTGGTGCTTGGCACCCAGCTTGCAATTATGATGTAGCAATGAGCCATGATCATGTGATTGTGATTTCCAATGTTTTCTGCTGGCTTCCCACAAGTAAAGTCCAGCAGGAAATCGAAACTCACTGTCACATGAGGTCCTTGTTTAGTGACCCATATGGTCCTCATTTAATGACAGCAGCAGGTCTGCTAGAATTACTGTCACTAAGCAACACATGCTATGCTTTCCAACTATGTCACTTAACAATGCAGTTCCCAGTCCCAATAGTCCCATAATTACCCGGTGGTAGGTAGGTAGGTAAGTAATTAATCAACCCTAGGACTACCTGTAATGATAATATGGTCCATAAAATAATAATATGGTCTATATGATAAAATGTACACCATAAGTTCAGCTTATGACTCAAGAACTAAAGAAAAAAACTAAAGAAAACAATGAAAATGAAAGGACTTTAAAGACTAATATATTTTTATAGCGTAGGTTTTTATGGGTTGCAGTTATTCTAGCTGGCAGGTATACAAGGATATTGAAAAGACAAATATAGCTAGAGAATATCAAGAAAAGAAAGAAAGTATGGCCTGCAATAGTTACATTAATCTTTAAATTTAAGCAAAATAAGCATAAATAAGCAGTGCTCATTGAAGCCCAAGCCTTCTGGTATGGATAGGCTAATCAATTATTTACAGTATGATAAAATTTTATTTTTGAGGACACAGGTGACAGAATCAAGCTTCTAGAAAGCTTAAACCTGAATCTCCCTTGACCAAATCTTTAGGTAGCAGTTGTGACTACCCATGTCCTATGAGAAAAGTAAAAATGCCCAGCCCTGAAACCTTGTGCTTTCAACTCCTGCAGGTTATTACTTAAGCACATTTCTTTTAGCTTCTTAAGAATGTAAACTGTATTGGGCAACTTGGCAGAAATGCAGTATATAAATGTAAAAGTAGATAATCTTATATAATTATATATATAAATGTAATATAAATATAAATGTAAAAGTATATAATCGTGCATCTTCAGCGTTTAGTCATGCCGGCCACATGACCACGGAGACATCTTTGGACAGCGCTGGCTCTTCGGCTTTGTAACGGAGATGAGCACCGCCCCCTAGAGTCGGAAACGACTAGCAGGTATGTGCGAGGGGACCCTTTACCTTTATATCATCTTAAATTTTGTTGAAATTTTAGAAATAAAATAGAGCAAGAATTGTATATTCTGGGACCATAGCCATTTCATTGCCAGGAGTTGCAGATAAGTTTTATTTTTTGAACTTTTTATGGATTTGGGTCTCAGCAGGCCACAGGAGGTGTGATGATGATAAAGGAGATACACTTGAGATTTTTGGCATGTTTTAGAAAGAAGAGCTGTGTTTTGTTGTATAGACAGATGTAGCCTTTGACCATTCATTCAATGATCATTCTAAGTACCACTGTATTGTAGGAATGAGGGCTGTGACTGGTCCTTGGAGCTCCAGTCATCTCAACACTTCTGCAGTCACATGATCACCATCTGAATGCTCAGCAAGCAGCTCCCTGTTACAACCCTGCCACAGCTCCCTTGCACACCCTCTGCACCACACCCTCCCTGATCCTCCTCACAACTTCCCCAACTGTGCCAATTCTTACATACAACCCTTTCATCTTTGCGCACCCTCCCCAACCCTTCAGTGCACGCCCATGCTTCCCACCTGGTCAGGGTTGCAGTTGGTCAGGGACTTGCAACTTCCTACCAGCTTCCCACTAATTTTGGTTGTGGAAAGCGAACAAAAAGGTGCCTCACCTAACCACCATGGGATTTAGTTAATAACTGGAACTGTAGAGATGGCATTGTTAAGCAGTGTAGTAATACTTTACAATCGTAGTGCTAAGCAACGGAAATTCTGGTCACAATTGCTGTCACAAATCTGGGCAAAATAGGTGAATGGGATCCATTGGAGGCTTAAGCATATATTCTAGTGTTTGTTGGGGAAAAAAGTAAAAAAAAAAAAAAAAACATGATAATGTCATCAAAACCCAGAACTGTCATCAAAACCCAGAACTCCAAAATGCTTCAGTAAGATGATGCTACCAAGCTTCAGTAAGATGATGCTGGGGCTCCTCCTCTTCCCAAATGAACTAGGGAAACATCAGCTGCCAATCTTTGATAAATAAACCAGCCATGACATTTTTTTTTTAAAGAGAAGCACTGATTAACCTTTGTTTTGCTATATGGGGAATTTTTTTTTATTTTTAGCGCATGGCATGTGTTAGCCAGGGATCACTGAGGTAGCTAACTGCCTCTGTGAAAGAAATTTTTTCGGGTGGTGTCATCTTTACCCACGGGATAGGCATTCGGGGGAGGCTCCTTTCTTGCCCCTGCATAGTTTATTTGCTCACGGGAATCAAGCCGCCGACCTCAGCGGTATGCAGGCCCAGCGTCTTACCACATGAGCCACTGCGGCCCCCCCTTATGAGGCATTAACAGTACTATACTAGATAGCACAATTTTTAAACTCCCATTCCAACAGTTATAGTGATAGCAAAAGCACTTAGACTTATATACCGCTTCACAGTGCTTTTACAGCACCTCTCTCTAAGCAGTTTTCAGAGTCAACTTATTGCCCCCAACAATCTGGGTCCTCATTTTACCCACCTCAGAAAGATGGAAGGCTGAGTCAACCTTGAGCTGGTTAGAATCGAAGGAATCGAACTCTTGGCAGTGTGAGCAGTTAGCCTGCAATACTGCATTCTAACCACTGCACCACCACGACTACCTGCAGTAATGTGAGATGATGGCACCCATCTTGGATGAATTATTCAGTTCCTTACTCTCATGCATATATCAAACCATACTAAACTTAGCTTTACTTACTTATCTCCTGCAGTCGTGTTTTCTGTTTTTTCTTCATTAGATTCCTGTGCATTGTCTCCAATACTAAAACTTGAATCAGAAGCAGTTTCATGTTTCTGAACATCTAGTGGAACCTCAGAAGCACTGAGAGAATCACTGTATATTTCTTCCTTCTCATCTATCTCCTTTAGGCTATATTCAGAACCCATGTCAGCTGTGCAAAAACAACATCAACACACACACACACACACACAAAGTGTAAACTTTGGAGAGTTTCAGTATACAAAAGTATATTATGATTATTATTTTTAAGTTTGAATTACTTGCTTACTGATGCATTTGCTATGCTGGCAGAGGAGCTTTGTCCTATTATCTAAAATCACTATAAATAAGGTGGGGACAATGTAATATATAAAACACTTATATATTAATAGAAGATGACAGTTTGGCAAATTTATTTGAAAATACCATTAAAGTAATGTTGCCTTTTTTAATTAAACACATAAGAGAATAAACCAACCGGAACATAGGGAGTTGCTTTATATAGAATTTAATATATTTAGACATTCTGTGGAAGAAAATAGAAAATTATCTAATAGCATTACCATAATCAGAGGAAAAGTCTCTGAATAGCTCAGCTTCCCCTTAACTTCATTAATAAAATAATATCATATGATTTCAGCATAAATATGTTGTATCATAGAGTTATGTTAAGACAATTACAAAATCATCTTCTTTTAACAACCCCATAATCCCTTGCAGGGTAGAGTTTGGGCAACTGAATAGAGCTAACAGAGCGTTTAATGGCCGGATGCCCTTCCAGTCACCAATGTGGAGTTTTGGTCAGCAGATATATTCTCATTGTACCCAGAGAGAGAAATATCTGCCTCTACCTAGGATTAAACAGCCTCCTGATTGTGAGGTGAGAGCTCCACGTCTAGGCCACCGCACCACTCTCAAGACAAATACAGTAATGGCATCATCAAGGTATCAAGAAAAAAAAGCAATGAATTAATTTAAAGTAGGGCTACAATACTCAAAGCAAGCACAGGAAGCTGAACAGAATGGAATGTCCTCCTTTCCTCCCCAAAACATGTATTAAACGGCATCATTACTTTCAGAGAGCTCGTGTTAAATGAGACTAGTATGTATGATTTAGTAAATTAGTCCCAAGAAGAAAACATGACAGCCACCTACATTTGAGCGACACTTCAGATTCATCTGGAGTATCAGTGTTAACCAAAACTCTACTTTCATCCGCGACTTGTTGGATATTGTTTTGATCATGACTGGTTGGATCAAAGCTGCTGGAAGTACCTGCTGCCATTGGGGTCCTGGTTAGATCAACTACATTGCCTAAGAAGCAGGTTAGGAAACAATGTGTGAATTAACTTGATTAATGTGACAATTAAACAAACACGAGAAGGGGAAAAAAAGCAGAGGGAACAATGTTAGTTAAATCAAAATGTTTTCAGTCATTTTTGGTAATATTAATAGGCCTGCAGCATTTAGTTAATAGACACAATCCAATTAACACGTTTCTCTGCTCAGCATTGAAAAGAATTGTAAATGTCTCTGATCATCAAGGTATCAGTTCAAAAGAGCCTTACCTTTTTCCCTCTCATACAAACAGAATTACTACCTCTTCTAAAATATTGCCTACTGAAATTGCATGCGATTTATTTAAAAACGAAACAAGGGCACTTATTTTTTTTCTTTTGAAATTACAATCTATTTATAACCACCCAGGTGCAAATGTAATCATTAATCAATGAAATCAATGTGATTAAGCAATTGCCAATTCTTTTTTTCTAGAACAATTAATTGTACATGAAATTGTGGGGCTCTGCATAAAACCAGTTTTCTGAACCCACATTTCAATGGCCCCTTTTCTCCAAGACTCAGGGTCACAGCTTCTCCCACCTCAGAAATCCTCTTTCCATCAGGACTGCTATCAAAATGAAGCAAACTGTCTTCTATGCCCAGATTAAGTGGGGAAGAACCTCAGAGCTAGTACCAAACCTTGAAGAAATACAGCCATCTTGACCCTCTCGGGAGCAGATTGGGGACAAAGTGAATATTGGTCCCTTTGGAAAACCCAGGCTATTAAACGGGGAAGTAGGAATTGTGAATATATTTTAATAGGCAGAAATGCAAAAGAAAAATAGTCAAGGATACCTCTGATATGATTGTGGAGAGAGAAATGGAAAGAGGGAAAGAAAATACAACTATGCTGAAAACTCAAAGGAGGAAGCCAACAAATCGAGTTGCACAGATTAGCTGTAGTTGTAGGAGGATCTGCATGCCAAGTTACTTTTCTTGCTATTTGTAAATAAAGAGATTGGTTTCTGTTTTTGCTTCAGCAGTTATCACCTTCCTCCACATCACTGTCAACTATTTAAGCCCTTTCCAGCTTTGATAATGGAAACAGGATGCGTGACTGGACCCCTTTCCCTGTACTTGTCAGAGCCGTCACTCCTATAGTTGATGGGGGTTATGTAGACTATTATTCAATCGCATACTCTCTTAACCTAACCTATTGAAAGACCAGGAACATGGTGTAACAAATCACATCCCCCTTCATCTCAAATAAGGTATCAAATTATTACGTAAACATTATTTTCCAAGAGGAAACTCGTGCAGAATATAAGGCTTCAGTCTCCCTATTTTCAGAGTATTGATTTACATGATATTTCACTGTGGTTGCCTTAAAAAACACCTACTATAGAACAAACCAGTGGATTACAGATATTTTAAATATTTATGTTATCTCTAAATCAATGTGACTGCTTAAAGTTTGGGGGGGGGGGGGGGTTTCCTGAAGATAGGCTTGCAAGTATGTGCCTTGAAGTCAGTGGTGACTGCCTTCACAAGTCCCTGCCATTTTCTTGACAAGGTTTTTTAAAAGTGGTTTTCAGTGCCTCCTTCTTAGGGCTGAGAGGGAGTGACTGGCCCAAGTTTACCAAGCTGGCTTTGTACTTAAGGCAAGATTAGAAGTCAGAGTGTCCTGGTTTCTAGTCTAGTGCCTCAACCACTATACTTGAAATATTGCATCCAGTTTTGGTTGTCATGATGTAAAAAAGATGTTGAGACTCTAGAAAGAGTGCAGAGAAGATGATTAGGGGACTGGAGGCTAAAACATATGACGAATGGTTGCAGGACCTGGGCATGGCTAGTCTAATGAAAAGAAGGACTAGGGGAGACATGATAGCCGTGTTCCAATATCTCAGGAGCTGCTACAAAGAAGAGGGAGTCAAGCTATTCCCCAGATCACTAAAGGAAAAGAAGCAATGGATGGAAACTAATCAAGGAGAGAAGCAACCTAGAATTAAGGGGAAATTTCTTGACAGTTAGAACAATTAATCGGTGGAATGGCTTGATTCCAGAATGCTCCAACACTGGAGGTTTTTAAGAAGAGATAGGATAATCATTTTCTGAAATGATATAGGGCAGAAGTCCCCAACCCTTAGTCCATGGACCAGAACCGGATCGCAGCATGCCAGAAACTGGGCCGTGCAAACAAGCAAAGCCCCATCAATGGATGCAGGCAGCATGCGAAACCACGTCCCCGCCCGGTGCATGGAAAAACCTCTCTCCATGGAACCAGTCCCTGGTGGGTAAAAGGTTGGGTGCTGCTGGCATAGGGTTTCCTGCTTGAGCAGTAGTTTGGGCTAGAAGACCTCCAAGGTCCCTTCTGTTATCAATCTGGTCCCAATATAGGCTGAAGGAAGGAGAAAACATGAACGTAATTTAATTATGCTTGATTTTATACATTTTAAAGACCAATTCAAGTAAATCAAAATAAAACCACTATTTTGGTTTCATTTAGAATAATATAATCACAAGGGCAGAGAAAAGAATGATAAAGGGGCCAGAAGAGTTTTATGGCAATACTAGCAGATGTAGCTGACATTGTCATTTTTAATCTTACTTAAAGTTGCATTAAAAATACCTGTTGGAGATTGCGCTTTTGAGTATTTTCCTTTGTCAATGCTTTCGGTATGAATTGATTCTGCAGATTCGGATCCTGAAAAATAGACAGGCAAAAATAGGCATTTTGGAAAGACTTCCTCTTCATGGCAAAACTGCAACAATACCCAAATATCTTTTATCAAAGGTAAACTGCCAGAGATGAGCTGCACATAATGTAACAACTGGTTTGCCTAGTGAAAAGCCGCTTTGGCGGCTGCAAACACGGTGATTTCATGCGTGCGGCAGCCGCGGTAAGTAGAGCAGGCGAGGTGTTGAAATCAGCTGGGCTGTGTGGGCAGGTAAGTGAGTCAGAGAGTGAAAGAGATATATATATAGGATGGGATAGCACCAGGGAGGGTGGGCAGTCCCAGCTAGTGGCCAGAACTACCAGTACGAGCGAACCCGTCTGAACCATGACTGACTGTTTTGCTGCCAGAAAAATAGTAGAACATTAATAGTTGCAAGTTACAACAGCACTGAAAAAAGTGACTTATGACTGTTTTTCACACTTACGACCATTGCAGCATCCTCATGGTCACATGATCAAAATTTAGACATTTGACAACTGACTCATATTTATGACAGTCGCAGTGTCCCAGAGTCATGTGATCACCTTTTGTGACCTTCGGACAAGCAAAGCCAATGGGGAAGGCAGATTCACTTAACAACCCTTGTTGCTAACTTAACTGTAGTGGTTCATTTAACCATTGTGGCAAGGAAGGTTGTGAAATGGGGCAAAACTTACTGAACAAATGTCTCTCTTAGCAACAGAAATTTTGGGCTCAATTGTGGTCATAAGTCAATATGTAATAAGTAATCAATAAGTAACAAGTAATAACTTCCCATCAAATTTCAAAAGTAAGAATAATACAACAGGCCACACTGCTTAGATCTGCACATATACTACACTGATCCATTACAATATTCTAGGTTCTTGGGAAGAACTTGATGAAGTTCAAAACCAGCTAAAGATGTGACCACAGTGATTTCACATTTGGGGGTATAAAGTAGTAATAATTCAATGAGCCAACTCTGTCTATAAGTTAAAGAAAACATCTGTTCATTACCTTCCATGAGAGGCAAAACTGTTTCAGGTTTTGGGTACAGAATTGTGAAATACTATATTTACCTGTGTCAATGCTAGGGTCACTTTGGCCTTGCAGTTTTCTAGAAGGTGGAGAAGGTGCTTTGCGCTTTGCCCGCTTTAAAGAAGAATTAACTGAAGACGTGCCACTGAGATGAAGAGAACCCGATCTCTCTATTCCCTCTCCTGACAGCCCCTGGGGAAAAAAATGAGCAGAAATGAAATTAACAGAATGGGCGTTGGTTCTTACCTGACACGCCATTTCTCTGGGAGCCGTGAGGATCATCCAGTGTGTGGGAGGTGCTTCAGTCTGCGTCGTTGTAGGCTGAGCTTAATTACTGAGGATTGCTCCGCCCTTCATCACGTGGCTGCCTTGCAATCCCCAGTTTACGCGAAGTCGAGAGTGAATAGAAATCCTGCTCTCCTCTTACTATGCTAAAGGGTTCATTGGCCGAAACAAGACCCCACCAGACGGAAAACTAATAAGGGTGGGGCTGGATGATCCTCACGGCTCCCAGAGAAATGGCGTGTCAGGTAAGAACCAACGCCCATTCTCCTGGAAGCCGTTTGGATCATCCAGTGTGTGGGACATACCAAAGCTTGGCTGTCCTACGGGGGGGACTCCGTCTGGTCCTGTGACCCCTGTGGTTCCTCGAGGACTCGCTGGAGGACTCTTCTACCAAACGAAGCCTCCACCGAGGTAAATATGTCGATCTTATAATGTCTAATGAAGGGAGATGGGAAGGCCCAAGTGGCCGTCCGACCAATACCAGCAATTGGAGCCTGAGTGGCCCCAGCTGCAGAGGTAGCAGCACTTCTGGTGGAGTGTGCCACTATTCCGCTGGGAACCGGCAGGGTCTGGGACAAGTACGCCTTGGAAATAGTAGCGCTAATCCAGCGGCCGATGGTTGACGGGGACACTTTGTGGCCTAATGATATGGGCTGAAAGGAGAGGAAAGGTATTCGGATCTCCTGAAGGGTTGGGTACGTTTAATGTAAATGCGGAGGGCCCGTCTAACGTCCAGGGTGTGCCAGAGCTTCTCCCTTTCCCACGGGGGATCGGGGCAGAAGTTCGGAAGTGTAAGTTCCTGTGCCCTGTGGAAGGTTGAGTTGACCTTGGGCAAGAAGGTAGGGCCCAGCCGGAGAACTACCCGGTCGGCATGGAAGATGCAAAGGTCCTACCTCACCAACAAGGCTGCTATCTCTGATATTCGGCGAGCCGAGGTAATGGCCACCAGGAACACGACTATGTACGTTAGGAACTGGAGAGTGGATACCCTGAGAGGCTCAAGGGGTGTTTAAGAAGGGCCACCAGGACCTTATTGAGGTCCCCGGTAGGGTATCTGTGAACCGTTGGGGGACAAAGTTGGTGGTTCCCCTGAGGAATGCCCTGATGCGAGGGTGGAGGGAAGGGACCCCAGATTGTCAAAACAATGACGGTTGAAAGGGCTGCGACCTGATGCCTCAGGGAGTTCGGAGAAGACCTTTCCTCAGACCCTCTTGGAGGAATGTCAACACTTGAACGATGGAGGGTGAAAGCGGGTTGACCTGGAACCCCTGGCACCCTTGCAGAAACTATTCCAAGTGGCATTGTATATCCGGGTTGTGGAGGGCCGCCTGGCGGCTAGAATAGTATCGATAACCTGGTCAGAAACTGCCCCCTTTCTTAAACGCTCCCGCTCAACCTCCAAACTGCTAACAGGAGCCACTGAGGATCCGGGTGCTGGAGGGGACCCTGAGAAAGGGATATCCTGATCGGAGGGATTTTTCAGGGAGGGGCCACCGATAGGTTGCGGAGGTCCACATGCCATGGGCGCCTGGGCCAGTAGGGTGCCACCAGAATCAGTTCTGCTTTCTCGGAGATGAGCTTCTGGATGACTCTGGGGGCCAGGGCTAAAGGGATGCATATAGAAGCCCTGATGGCCAGGGGCAACGGAGGGCATTGTAGTTCTCGGCCCCGTGGGAGGGGTACCTCGAGAAAGCCTGGGGAGTCGAGTGTTGAGGAGGAATGCGAAGGGGTCCACTAACGGGAGACCGACCAGCTTGGTCGCTTCCCTGAACAGTGACGGGTGGAAGCGCCACTTGGGCTGGTCCACCGTGGTCCTGCTCAACCCATCTGCTTGGGTGTTTAAGTCCCCTGAGATGTGCTCGGCTTTGAGAGAGAGGGGATTGCGCTCCGCCCAATGGCAGAGGCGCTCGGCCTCTCTCATCAAACGGATGGACTGGTGCCCCCTTGTCGGTTGGCATGGGCCTTGGTCGTGATGTTGTCCGCGAGTATGAGGACATGCCGCCCGCGTACCTGAGGGAGGAAGTTGCGCAGGGCCAGGTGGATGGCGCGGAGTTCCAACCAGTTATACTGCATGCTCGTTCTACCTGAGACCATGTGCCCTGAGTCGAGAGCGAGTGGATGTGATTGCCCCATCCAGACAGGCTGGCGTCTGTGGTGAGGGTGAGGCGTTGGGACTCCTTGAAGCCATGTCCCTTGTTGATGGCGGGACTGGTACCCAGAGGAGAAACGTGAGGACCCTTGAAGGCACCTTGACCGTGGCCTTTGAATTGCTTCTGCAGGACCGTTGGAACGGGAGCAGGAACCACTGTAGGGACCTGGTGTGTAACCGGGCCCAGGGAACAATGGAAATACATGAGACCATTTTACCTAGTAGCTTAGACAATTCTAAGGTGTTACCCTTCTTGAACGTCTGACTTGTTTGACGGTTTCCTGAATGTTAAGGAATCTTTCCGAGGAAGGGAAAACCTTTCCTCGAACTGAGTTAATGACGGACCCCAAGGGGTGATCCATGTAGGTGGTAACAGTCGGCTCTTTTGCCAGTTTGCCAGGAACCCATGGTCTTGGAGGGCAGAGAGGGTAGTTCTGACATCCTTCCCTGCTTAGAGTCTGGGGTGGGACAGGACGAGGATGTCATCCAGGTAACAATGGAGACGAACCGGGAGGTTCCTGCGGGGGCCGCCAGAGACGCGAGGACCTTAGTGAAGATCCTCGGGGCAGGGGCCAACCCAAAGGGAAGAGCCACATATTGGAAGTGGCGGTGGTTGTAGCAGAATCTGAGGAATATGGAATGGAAGGGCCGGAATGGGAGTGGGGAGACGCCTTTGAAAGGTCTATAGAGGCTAGCCAGTCCCCCTGCCTGATGCCCAGTAGAATGGACTGTAGGGTGTCCATCTTGAACCTGCGGTAGATCAGGTAACGGTTCCGGCGTTTCAGGTCTAGAATCGCCCTCCATCCCCCTGAGGGTTTGGGAATCACGAAGAGGAGGGAGTAAAACCCCTGCCCCCGCTGGGATGGTGTGCTGAATGGCTGAATCCATTGAGTTGTGTTTGGTGGGGTCCCTCGAAAGGGGGGATGCCATAAAGAAGTCGGGGGGGGGGCGCTGGAATTCAAGCGCGAGACCAAGCCTGATGGTGCCACGGACCCAGGCATCGGAAGTGGGGGAATCCCATCGGTCGGCGAAATGCCTGAGGCATCCCTCGATGGGAAGGGAGGAGCAGGGTCTATCTGGTGCGCCAGAGAGGCTTCCCTCCGGGGCCCGTGAAGGGCCGTCTGTAGCTGCCGCCCCTCCTGTTCCTGTAACCTGGATCGGCTCGATCCTGGGGCTGGAATTGCCGGAAGGAGGGGGTCTCGGATACCTGGGCTGGAAGGGGACTGGTAGAAGGGTCGGGAGGAACCTTTCCGAAAGGGCAGAGGCTTTCTTGTTCTTAGCAGGACTTGAACTCACAGCGTCCTGCTTTGTAGTTTGGTACCTCAACCTCTACACCAAACTGGCTCTGTTCTTGCTTCAGGTTTCAGATAGCAATGGCTCCAGGGCGGTGCCAAATAGTCTGTCCCCCTTAATGGGGGCAGTGGCCAGCTTAACCTTGTTTTTTTATGTCCGCCTGCCAGTGCTAGAGCCAGAGTAGGCGGCGAGCTGTAACGAGAGAGGTTATTACTCGGGCGGAGAACTTAACCATTGAGGTAATGTACAAGAGCAGGAGAGACTATCTGAAATATCAGCCTTTACCTGGGGTCGAACTCACGGCCTCCTGACTGTGAGGCAAGTGCTCTACCTCTAGGCCACCTGACAAAGGGCTGTGGTAGGTGGCGTCGGCCGAGGGTTCCACTGCGGCCGTTAACTTTACGATGACCTGATGTGCCCTAGTGTTAGAGGGGGAAACATGCTGTTTCAGTTGGCGGAGCCACCGGATCGAGGACCTGGTGAAAAAGGAAGCGGCCATGGCCGATCTGACAGCCCAGGTGTCGCCTGATGAGCCCTACTCAACGGCAGTTCGGACCTCTTGTCCTCGGGTTTTAGAGCCTCCAAGGGGTCACTGGGGGAGGACGAGGAAACTAAGCCAACGAAGGGTTCGTCTACCTCGGGGGTGTTAAGCAAGTTGCAGAAGCTCGAATTGAGGTTAAGAACCTCTTGTCCTGGCTGGATGGGGCAGGGGGAGCTCTTATAGAGTCCAACAGGTCTGAAACTAGGTCGTGAAATATGAGTGGGGCCGGAATAACTTCCGCCTCCACCACGGGTTGCCTAAAAACGGCGTCCTCTTGTCCCTCTGCCGGAGGGGGGAGAGCGAGGAGGACTGAACAGATAGGCCAGAAATGCTCTTGGCCTTAAATAGCAGGGATTTAAAATATGTGTGCTTTGAACAAACCCACAAGGTGAGTTGATGGGGGTGAGGCCCTCGTCCTCGGACATGTCCCCTTCCTTCGGGTCTATCTCTGATAGGGGTTCCCCTTGGTGTATGGACCCCCATTCAAGATCTTCCTCCTCCCCGAACCGAACCAGGTCCTCTATAGCCTTCTCCATTTCCCCTTCTGAGCGGGGGCTGTCCCCCATAAAGGTACCTGACCATGAGTGGGGTCCAATCTAGGCAAGGACCTGAGTGATGGCGAGACGTGTTCGGGCGCCATCGAGGGGGGACCGGACCTGGGCATCTGTTAAAGGCCCTCTGCTATCCCCTGGCGGATAGTCTGTTCCATCCATGCCTGCATGTGCGCAGGAATCTCGACAGAGGCGGCCTCCTCCTGGCGCAGGCCAGCGGCCGTGGGTGTGAAAGTGGCTTCGAGCGTTCGTCTGGTTGTCGGTTCGGGCACCTGGTGTCCCTGTAAGCAGCGCCTGGAGAGGGAAGAGGAATCTGGAGGAGGGGGGGGTGTCTGGAGGTAGAAGGAAGGGGGCTGGGGGCACTGGTTGTGCC